GCATATAATCTTGTATTGGATACATACAAAATACGAAGCGTGAAGTTGTAGAGCGCCGTCTATAAATGACGGCAAATTTCAGTACTAATTGGTATGATTTCGCAACATTTCCCAATATGTCGAAATCACTCACGGCTATTTACAGCTGATTTTGCCGTCAATTATGGATGGCGCTCTACAATTGTTCAAAGTGTGACAATTAGCGGGTGATTGAAGCAAAAACAGGGCCTTTTTTCCCTATGTGCGAGGTCGTGCAATGCACGAGGGCGCAAAGGATCTGAGGGCGCCAGAGTTCAAAGAGCGCAACAATTCGAGAGCTAAAACACAAGCCTATTCGTGAGTTTCCAAATTGTTCCGCTTTTTGGACGCTTGCGCCCTATTTTATTTGTTTGCATAGAGCGCTGGAGCGCCCTTTCTGCTCGCTTTGATTATGAAATTTTGCTGAAAAATTTTCTTTTCTATATGAGCGCCCAAGCACTTTCGGCACTCTTGCGCAGAGACTTTTCTACCCTGACACGAAGTTATGTAATGAACAATGGTGCCGCTGAGGTGCCGCAGGCCCAAAATAATAGATAATTTCTAGGGGCGCACATATAAAATTTGCACAAGGGCGCCAGGGGAGTGAAAAAAGGCACTGATCAAAAACAAAATGAAAAGCTTTCAACCGGCTGCAAATCTTTTGGCTTTGGTTTTCAACTTTCATCTAGGTGGGTGTTCATTTTAATTAAAATTGTTTGTAATTGAAGAACATACGCACTTGGATATAAATTCCCAAATTACTTAAAAACAAGTCTTTTCGAGGGATGCGGAGCGGGAAAAAAGTCTGGTCTGGCAACGGATTAATTTTTCGATAGCAACCAAATTTATCAATTCAAAATGCGAAGCCATTTGTTTGGATGAATACTATTCATTGAATACACAAATTTATGACATCATAAAGATAATTTTTCGATTGTGTGCTTCATTTGTTGTGTAAGCCTCATCATTTATATTCACCATTTTGAATTCCAATGAATTGTCATTGGAAAAGTTTGGCCAAAGGAAAAACTTTTCTTCCGCCGCGCCCAAAGGACAATTCGAATAATCTGGCAGTAAATAGTCGGGCATTAATAAAATAAATATGCATACGAAAATTTTAGAGTGGCTTTTAAACCGACAAAAGCCTATCCATCCCAACTCGGGAATTGTTTTCGTTCTAAATGTGTGGCATTGAACAACGGCCCGGCATATAAAGATGGCAAATGACAAGAACAATCTGGTATCGAATAAGTATGAAGATTTATTTGCGCCCAGTTTACAATACATCACCTATTTTGATCGCTCTAAATTGCCTATAAACACTGCTGATTAGTTGGCTCCAAGTGCCGAGCATATAAATACTTTTATGGAAAGAAGTTAGAGATTTATGAGGGTGTGCTATCAGGGAGAGGGCGTATGATGTCGTGTTTTTCTCCGCTCGCCTTGCAACCGTAAACAAGAGATGAGTTAAACAACATGAAAATCGACACATTGCATTTTCATAGATAAAAAGATTGATCAGCCATATGAAGCCCATCACATATTCAAATTCAAGCATACACAATTACGATAAAAAAAGCAACGATAAGCTTTTTCTCTTGTTTGGTGTAAACGAAGAAAAAAACAATCACTTGCTTTGTCTATAGACTCCGTTTGTGTACAGATAAACTATTTTTTCACATCTGCTGAATTTTCCTGGTGAATAGTAAAACAAGCCATTTATAACACGGGGCGGAGATGGAGAGAGAGAGATCGAACTTTGTGTAAGTTGTGCACAATAGTTTTAAAGACAACGATAAATCAATGGACGAAAACGAAAAGGAAACGGCGAAAGAAAACTATTTCGAAAGTATTACAAAACTATGATACTGCTGGCGTTGTAGGTTCGATTTGGTGTGAGCGCATTATTTACGGATGGGACGCACACAAACACATACAACTATTCGACATAGTGGAGATTTCGTGCTGCTACTACTGCTGCTGATGCTACTGACTCAATAAATATTGCCAAAGTTTTGAAAAACTTTTAATCGGTCAGTAGGTAAAAATACTCGATGAACTAATGGCAATTTAGATCAGCTCCCACAGATAACTCCAAACACTCGCTCACAACTCCCAAATAACGCTATTTGGCTATAAAGTAATTTTGCGTATTTTATGTGCGTCTAAATGGCGTTTATTCAACATCACACGGTTATGGAACAAGTTTTATTTAAAGTATTGCAGACACATGCAACTGCATGTACTCCATGTAGACATTTGGTTCGAATAGAAGTTTCTGCTTAACAAAGGTACTTTCAAAGTATACTTTGAGACTGGATTGAAAGTCGAAAAGCCCAGTCACTTAGTTTAATTGATTCTCGCATTTTCTCTTTTTGACAAATTACATGAACATGATTTTCGAATGAGAAATTTTCAATGAAAAATCGTCTTTTTTCCCAACAGTAACGAAAGAGTTCTTTATTTCCTTACTCAAAAGGAAGTATCGAAACCTTATTTAATAATTGATTGCAGTGATCCAATTATGTAATGATACAAAGTGTATTTTGTTGCCTTCAAAGTATCCTTTCCTTTCCTATAGTGTCCGTGTTTGAATATCCTTCATTTCTAAGAAAAGCGACTCAAAGCTGTGTGTGTGTGTTTGGAATGGGTGGATGTGATAATTTAGTCATAATTGTGTATTGTTTGTTATTCTATTCATCCGTTACATTAGCAAGATGATTAGAGCCATTTAAATGCCGCATGCTTGCAGGCATATAACGGGTTGTATACCTTTTTACATTCTCATCCATTTAAATTAATACGACACCACGTCTTTTGTGTCGTATCGATTCAACCAAGATCATTAATATCGTGTGAAACAACGACCGGAGACAGTAAATTTATCGAACATTTTATCGCTTCACTGCGCACACCACACACAATCACACACCCACACCAACGGTTATTTCTAAAATGGAAGTCGATACTAATGGAGACTGACACGCACGAAGTAAACGCCAACCAAATTAATGATGTTTGATTAGTTTAGTTGTTCGTGTATTGGATTTGATTTTTGAACGATACACTAGATGGGTTGTATTAATTTAGTCATTTACTTATGCGCACATGTATCCGTCACATGCATTGTCGATGGGGTTTTCATCAATTCCAAACTAACCACATATTTGAATGTTTATTTGTCGTATTTTGAAATGAACATGAAATTTTCAATTTAATTTCCTTCGCAGCAACATAATTAATATTCATTAGACCAGGTTCTGATTTACATTATCATAATAATACCGAAGCCGCATCAATTGGAATCGGACCTCGTATTGATTATTATCATCATGAAACCATGAAGAGTGGAGAAAAGTGAGAGAGAGCGAGAGTTCACAATCAAATTCCATCAAATTATTGCCAATGAAATGCCCATTGAACCGTAATAGTATTCCAATATTAAAGGATACAGATGTATATTTAATTTATCTATGCCGATAATTTCGATGTTTTTACCATAAAAACTTTGTTTTTCCCCCCTCTATTTCCCTATCTCCCATCGCGGGATGAAAGCAAATAAAACGCTATCAAAATTCAAATACGCGCGTATTGATTCGCTAATAATTATTGTTTACGAGCTTTTAATTAGTTTATTTTGAGCTCGATGCATTTCATGGAAATCAACAAAACTTTTTCAATGAGTGTTTTGAATAGAAATTTTCAATTAGATCGTCGATGAATTGTAGTATAATCAAGGGGAATGTGGTTTCAGTGAATTAGAAATTAATGAAAATAAATCACACGCCTAGTTTGGGTTAAATAGTATCGCAGCGGTAAATTACGAGCTTATCATATTTCAATGCTAACACACATATTCTTGCATTCGCGATTCACCACAAGTTTTAATTTGGTGAGCATCATCATCGACAACGGCAACGATGAAACAGGGCAAATTTCATTATTATGTTTGTAATCACAATTTTTGGGTAGAAATCGTCGAATCATAAATTATCATAGCGATTATGAGCGTTAATACATGACAGCCGGAGCTTTCATCTCAGTGTCGGAAAAATGAGTCGAGCATTATCATGGTGAATACTAATCTGAACAAAGCCATATATTCCGCATGATATTTCGAAAATATATGGTTTATGTCCAACAAAAGAAACGCCGCCAGGGGAAATCTTATTCATTCTATGAACTGACTATCTGAACTGACTTATAATTGCCTCTGAGGCCGAAAATGTTGCGTCGAGTAAAATGTTTCATGGAATCACCGTCAATTTAGACACACACACACAGAGAGAGAAATTCCAAGTGAAAGATAGTCCTTTGTTTGATCCCTGCCAAATATTACGCCAAATAATGGAATGTGAAAAACTGAAATTTCATTAAGCCTCTGTTGGCTGAATTCTAATCCAACAAACAGGCTTTTGATGTTAGAGCGAAATATTTTTTTTCCGTTGTTCTCGTTTGCGTCTCTCTTTTTTCTCCATCCATCTCCACTCATTCGAGTCAAACGATGGGATTTATTTCAATGTTTTTCACGATGTGTTTTTTGTTTGTGAGACAGCATGAGAGATGGATAAAAATAGTAGTGATTGCGTAACGTGAAACGTGCACTGCCGGCACTTGTTTCGGATTTCACGAAAAACCCAAACCATCGAATGTTGACTTTATATTGGACGGTTTTCACTCTTTCGTCTCTCTGTGTGCCTGACAGTAAAAACATAATATAAACGGATGAAAAAACATTGAACGCAATATATCATGGTGATATCCAACATTTTTCTTATGGGGTCACTGTGTGTGTGTATGCGCATTTTTCAATCAGTCCGTCACATGGTGGAAAAAAAAGAAACTTTTTCCGGGCATATAAAAGCGAATAAAAACAGGATAAAAAAGCGTGAAAGAGATGTATTGTATCGAAATGAAGGCTAACTGCTTCAGTACATTCCAAATGAGTTCAACAAAATAAGGAAATCATCGTCCAAACTTACCCTTTTCGCTTGTCTTCCACTCTTTTTTTTTCTGCTTGCGTGTTTCTTTAATTTTTTTTCTTCTTCCAAAAAGAAAATTGCGCGTCCTTTTTTGTCCAAATGTTCCACAGCAAAATGGAATATCATTAACTTTTGTCTCGTTGTAAATTGTTTATTCTTCTCCTTAGCCGTTCAGTTACATCAGTCAAAGTCATTTATTTATTTTGAGTAATTGAGTTTATTATGTTCCGATTCCCTTTTCGCTCGAGGCTTTTATTTACTCGAACAAAAATATTAGCCAAATTTTCAAGTTGATTTTTTTAGTCAAAAGCACAAAGAAATTCGACTGTTTTTTTTTTAATTTCGAAGATTTTTTTCATTCACTTTTTTTCCATCGCACAAAACTTTTCCATTCCGGTTGTCAACCGAACAAAGTTTATGGCCACAAATCACTGCTATCTCGTATTTCAACGTGGTGCACAAATGGAAATGTGCATGGCACAAGCGGAGGCGAGCGATTGTTCTGGCTATCGATTTACGTAAAGTGACAAGATTACAACCAGAGCACTTCAAAATAACAATGCGATTGGCGGTGTTAATTTAAACGGAAACACACTCACTCACTCACATACACCCACCCTTCACTAAACCAGCGATATGTGCACAAGCGAGCGCAAAAAATGAAATTTTATCAATTGTTCGACTATCAAGTTTTTCACGTGATCAGCTCGACATGTTGGCATTAAGATGGATGTATCTTTCGGATATTTGCGCTCTGTTAGCATTAGGCGTGTATTTTCAATTTTTTGCATGAGCAGAGCGTCAATCGTTCGACTGTTTGTCTGGGATTGTTTGACGCGGCGCGTGAACGACAAATGCGTATGGAAATGGTATTGATTCAAGTGTCACGCTGCTTTGCATTTGTTCGCAAAAACAACACGGTGGTACGGTGACGAAGGATGAACAACAATTTTGAGTTTTCTTGCTGTTTTTATCATCAATATGAAATGGCACTTCGTACCGCGTTTCAAAAATCAGCATCAAAATATGCGTATCGATGGGACGCGTATTCGTTTTTCGTTGTGATTTTTTCTCCCGCTATTTTGTTATCAGAAATGTCACTTGGCATTTGCCCGATTTTTTTTTTCTGGCGTCTTTCATCCGATGAAACTTGTTTCGGAAAACTTGCCTCTCCGCTGTTTTTCGTCGTTATCAACCATTTCAAACAAATTGCTACTGTAAAATGTTACTCTGTTTCACATTGAACTCACTAAACGAAATGCACACCGATACACTTCCTTTTATTCGTTTTCCAATTTTTTTTTGTGTTATAACGTTTTGGATTCACATTCGGAATCGGTACGAAGCAAACGAAAAAAAAAACAAATCACTCTCACTGAAAATCTAGTGAGCCGTTAAAATCAAATACACTGTATTATTAGATTGATGACTTGTTGTGTTCACTTGAATGAACGTTCAATTGTTCCGCTTGTGTTCGAAGGCGATTTGTGCGCGAATAGTTATAAAGAGCACAACGAAGGAGCCAAAGAATGAAAAGGGGAGAAAATATATTTCTGCTAATTTTCCGGTTTTCTTTTATTCTCTGTATGCCAGCCACACTTTTCGGGTTCATGTATTTTCGATTCGACAATAGAGAGTTGAATTGGCTCCAATTGAAATTACACCAATAACTCACGACAACCGACAACGACACGTTGACAAGAACAAAATTGTTCGCAACAAACAAGCTCCAGCAGCAATTCGCTGTGTCAAACGAATACTTTCACTTCCTATTTAGAGATATTACGCACCGATAAATACTGTGCAAGTGTATTTTGTCCGTCGTGTAGTCATAATCTCGTAAAAATGTTCGTGAAATGGCAATTGATAAATCAAAGTGATAATTAAGCACAATTTATGTGGCGTTTGTGACTTCTATTTCAATTGTTCAACTGCCTCGTTATCATAGCCGAAAGGGCCAAGCATCCAGTGCCGGTCATAGATAATATGCCTGTCTAATGAGAGATAGACAAGGATAATGACGATGACACGGGCACCAACAAGCACAACAAAAAATTTAGCAATCGCGACGCGTATAAAATAGCTAAACAAGAGATAACCGACTATATTAGCTCCTGCAATGGATTTTTCGTATTGCCGACACAACGGTTAACACACAACTGACGACAATGCGCACCGAAAGCATACACGATTGGCTCGTGTCTGTTGACGAACTTTGGAAAGCACGCACTGGAATTTCACGACGACGACGACGACGACGACAACGACGGCGACAGCAATCCAAGAAGAGGAAAAATGCCGACAACCGAATGCTGCACAATGCGGTACCGAACACAACACCGAATACAGTTGCTCGGCGTACACGACCTGACGACTGGAAAATCCAAAATGTGTGTGCCACATTTTTCCTTTTCAAACCACAGAACGAACGGTTTTTTTTGGGTGTGTTTGCATTTTCATGCCTTTCAGGCGCGCTCTTTCGATGTGTGTATGCTATGTTCCAGTGTGTATCTCGAATTTCAGTATGAACCAAACTGTAGTAGTATCCAATTCCACTATGAGCTTAACGACCGGTACTGAAAATCAATTTTCAAACGCCTGCCAGAGTGTTATCATTGCCGTAGGTCATTTGCAATAAACAACACTCTCGATGTGCCAAAAAGCCAATTGGCTTTTTTAAGAGATAGCATACTTTGGTGTTTTATGGAAAGTTTTAATCGAAAATTGTTTTTCATTGACTTCAATGATAATTTTTGATCGGTTTTGTGAATTTAGTCACTGACATCGTTTCACATTCATGGAGAGGAATGAGATGGAGTTGGATTTGAATTTATATGCGATGATTTTGATAGAACTTGAAAATCGGCAATTTCAATGGCAAAAGTAGTATACTCCTTTTAGATACATCATCCAGCTTTTTTAGCAATGATTTGCTGAAAATTGAAAAAAACAAAAACATTGAAAATGTATCTGGTGTTTGAAGGGGAAATCGAAATTCCACGACGCTTCACGAGCACCCTGTACGGTGGTTCAAAAGAAGGTCACTGGAACTGTTCGTTGCTGCGCAAACATAGTCCTCAGTGGAACGCGGCATTTATAAGGTTTTCATAGTGATTTGATAAGAGAATGGAAAGATGCGCTTTTGCCGAGAGCTACCACGAGTAATTAAAGTGGAGTTCATGCCGAGCTCTGAGTCAGTATGCACGTACATTTTCAATATTCATCGAAGTGTCTTTGCATCGTTCTAATTTTATTATTCTGAACTTTGTCCACTTTTTCACATGGAAATTTCGAGATTTTCTTTGAATTGTTTAAGAAAATATCCATGGCGAATAAACCAAAACAAAACAAGAAAAAAAATTCGAAAAATACATAATTACCAAATCGTAGCGCAAAAGTGCAGGGTGACAGAATTCAATCACAATAAACATGAATAAGAAAACAAATACGACCTTGTGAATCGAATTGCAAATGAATTTGACGAAAATCTAATTTCGATTTGTTGAGAAAAACAATTTCTTGCCTTGTCTGCGAGTCCGAGCCGAAATTTAGCATTGGATTGGCCTTTTTTACAGTGTGGAATCCGTCTCTTTGTATGAATGGAATCGCGTGCGGAAAACTCATTTAATTTATTCAAATGAACTCTGGCCAAAAGAATGAAAAAGGAAGAAAATGATTAAAACTTTTTAATTAGCCCGTTGAATTTGGTTGCAATCCAAATGGTTTTGATGTTGTTGATTATCAAAATGTCTGTGTTGGTAATGATAACGTTTTACGTCTCAGCCGCTTTGAGCTTCCGAAAAATAAAACGAAATCTATGCTAATGACCACGGTGCGCGTAAATCTCGTAAGTCGCATACCACGTCCAATGAAATTCCTTCATCATTAATTGATACTTTTTTGAATTAATAATGTATAGTACCAAGTGTGCACACCTGTGTGGTCTTTTAATCCGGCCACCAAGTTTAATTCAATGAATACCATTGTAGCGAATTATTATTATCTTTTGATGTTAAATGGATTCCATCCCGTCAACGATTGCTCTATCTGAAGTGGAAGTAAGGAAGGAAGGAAACAAGCAGTTATAATCTCTTTTGGTTTCAGAGCGTATCATTCATTTGACTGAATAGCACTTTTAAAAAATGATTATGGAATAATTTTGATTACTTTTGGAGAGAAAGCGAGAGGGAGAAGGACTCCCTTTATCATTCCCGCTCTCGCATAAACATCACGTCGGCCAGCAGAAATGCTCTCATGGGACGGTGATCTTCTCTTAGGAAAACACAACATTTTACCTCGTATTTGAAATGAAGCGATGAACAGCAAAGAAATTCAATTAGAAATTGAGTGTATCGCTTTAGTTGTACGTGCGTTTGATGACTGAATCAATGTCGAATCATTTGAGATGGTATAAAAATAGCTTAGCATTTTTTCCCTCTTCCGTCCTCTTACAAAGCTGATGTATGGTTGATTGATTCCATGTTGATATGTCCTTTCAAAAATCAGAATGTATCGAACGCATGCGAGCCATAATTGGTTGTCTGATTTCACCTGACCTGAATGCCAAATGTGCCTTCCTTGTTTGCACATCCGATGAACACAGAGAAAAAAGAAATGAAGAGCAAAGAAAAAACCGAATGTCGTGTTGATTTTTGAACACTTTCCTATTTCGATTCATCAAGATGGTCGAGATTCAGCATCGTCATTTTACCGCTTGAAAAATATGATAACTTTTTTTGGACAGCGATCACAACAAGTTTGCTGGAAATTGTGTGAAATATGGTGTCGTATCGTAAAATGGACGACAAGTGTCAACACAATAACAATAAGAGCTAAAAACTTTAATCTAGTTAGTGAACAAAAGTTAACCATATTCTTTGATGGTTTTGGCCATAAAAAAAACGGAATAAGAAAATTGAAATGAACACATATACATGACAAGCTGATGCATATCAAGGCATCAGTAAACAAAGTGGCACATGCTGTGTCTCTCAATTAGTACTACAACTTTTTCTGCTGTTGCTGTTGCTATTGCTGTGACACTTCATCCAACTTTGCACTAGATACCCATCATCCCACAAACGAAATTTGTTTGGTGGATAACTTTTGCTTTCATGTTTGTTCGCATGGTTTTCACGCATAATCAAAAATTAAATCACTCTCTAATTAATAATTAGTGAATTTTGCGAACGAGTTTCCAGCTGCTGACACCAATCCACTTCGGACGCATCGTTCATTAGTTGCTGCTGTTGCAGTTTTAATATGTCCTTTTAATTTAATTTCGTACTAATTCCACCCTCCTTGCAATATATGTACGTACAATATCGTCCAAACTCGATCCAATTCATATACACTGCACATGAAAAATGTTCAACACGAAAGAAACAGAAGCAACAACAACAAAAATACAATAAACCAATTATTAGTTGTTGTTTGTAAAACATTTCCTTTCATTATTTTCGGGCATTTGAAGTACTAGCGGAGGGTGAATAATGACAAAAGAGAAAAAACCATTGCATTGACATTAATGGTATTAAAAAAAAGTTTGTTTGCAAACCGAAACAAAATGTTTGGTTCGAATCGCACACACACACACACACACAAAAGAACCATTCTTGGCGGAAAAATTTTCCACATCAACAAAATAATACGAACGGAACAAGAAATTTCTTGGTCATCTCTCGCCAAAGATAATGTTCTTAACGCATTTTGTCGCAATCTATTTTTATTTTCTTCGTTCACGAGTGCAAGGTTTTCGTTTTGCAATGCTTTTCACACATTTCAATTGTTCGAAAAGGGAAAAGTACCATAAAACAATCGCCGTTGTAACGTCGGAAAAGTGTAAATGCAACTTTTCAACGGCAGCACAAGAAGAAAGAGAAAGAAAAAGTAAAATCGAACTGAAATGCAATCGCATTGTATCACGAGATGGAATCTCAACAGCCGGTTCTCGCGTATCTCACTCTCACAATCTCGGAGAGGAAAAGCTCAAACGGGAGAAAGAAGGGAAAAAACAACGACGATGCAAACTTTTTAATTAAGTTACATGGTATCTGGTGCTTCTGAAAAATCGGCTTAAAATAAAACAACGCTCAGAATTGCTCTCGTTCACTCTTACTCGGGAGTCATCTGTTCGACGACGGTGCGACCGAACAATGGCAAACGAAGACAACGAAAATACTTGTTTTTGGTCGCCTGGATATTTTATCCCCGAAAGTGCTTCAAGTTTTCACGTTTTCCCATACCGAAACAAATTCTGATGATGATGTTGTACACAGCAACGATGCTTCGACTCGCTCTCTCTTTCTCTCTCTCTCTCTCTTTCGCAAGTGCCACACACCACTATTGTTTAATATTTATAGTGCTTGCATTCAAAGTTTTGTGATAATGGTACATAGCCAAGTTTTCAACAGCGAACCAACACAAATAATTCATGTTCAGCACTGTAAATGAATACTTTCGGCCAAAAATTCAATGGACGGCCACCAGCACTACTTCCATCGTCACCGATTTGCGTGCTCACGTCTCTCTTTCATTCCATCTTTCTTATCATGACGAAACCTGATTAAATCATAATTAATTATTGAAACTGTGTTTATTTATTCGTAACTTACATTGAGACGAGATTGTTGCAGGGATTTTGTTAATTGCATTTTTTTTTCATTAATTATACTATATTTCTCTCTATCTCTCTTCTCTCCGTTACTGATGACCCAGTCAATATTTCTGGATCATATTTTAATAATATTTCGAAGGTTTCCATGAATTTCTGTTTTTGCTTACCATTTTGTTAGTGCCCAAAAATCTATGTGTACACCAAAAACTTCCCCGTTGATTAGTTTATGCTTGAATTCATGTTTTTTCTCCATGTTTTTCATATTGTTTTCAAATTAAATCGCATTTTTCTGCACTAGAAAGAGATGTTTGAATATTCCTGGATCAGGATGCTTGATTTTAATATTGGCAGTTTAAAAAACAATGCAATAAAAAGTATATTGTGTTGTTTATCTAAAAAAAAAATTATCGACGAGGAAAATTGGAGCGGTAGCCAGGCAATGTAGCAGTAGCAACGAATAATTCCAAAAAGGCCAAAATAAAACTTATTCAAACAATAAGCGTTCATAAATAATAATTCTGTTC